GGCGTGTCTGCGTTTGCAGAAAGCCTGGGTTCGTCCATTGCACTGTGCTGGTGCGATCCCGATCACACCCCTAGGAAAACCCTGTTCTCTAAATGTATTTGCTCATTTTGATAAGTAAAATGATATTGTTGCTTGACACACTATGGATTTAATTTCCAGCTGTTTCCATCTTTGTATACGTGCACTTCCCACTTGATTTACTTCATGAGACACACATTTGCCCTCCCGGCTCATTCTGTTTTTAGCTCCATTTCCTTCTAAGGATCCTTTAAACATTAACAGTGTGAACTGCTGCACAGATACGTACTGCCTCCGGTGCCAGCCTTTGTGATCCACCTCTTAGGTGTGTCTTTCCGGCATGAAGAAGTTCTTAGTTTTATCTCTCCAGTCCCAGGAGGCTTTTCTCTGTGGCTCCTTCCCTCACTTTCATGTTTGAGAAGCTCGTTGGGGGGATCATCCCCTAACCCACAGCACCTTTGAAGTTTCCTTTTGAATGGCTTCCTGTTTTATGTTTAATTCTTTAAGTCATCTGGAATTAATTTTGGTCTAGGTTGAAGTCAAAGATCCGACTTGATCCCCGTGCCCTGCAAAGCCAACCATTTGATCTGGTTCTACTCACTAATTCTCCCCACACACTTAATGCGTGTGACTTTCTCTTACTCCGAAAGCGCGAATGGAGGAGGGAGGGAGGGAGGGAGGAGGGGGTTGGGGGAAAGTTGGGGGAGATTGACCAGCCACACAGCAAAGCGATACAGCAGTAGACATACAGATTGTTGTCCTTGCTGATGTGACCTACACACATGATCTCCCATGAGGCACCAAAACTCTCCATCTACACTGCCGATCCCAGAACTGCAGTTCTCAACCAAGAACTGAAGAATCGGCCAGAGCCATTTCTGGCTCCAACTCTGAGACTTCTGACTCTGCTGGCAGTAATGACCAGCTTGGAGGTGAGTGGCATGCCTCATTCTCAGGCGTTGACACAGGCTCTGAAGACTCCACTGGTGAAGAGTGCCCTCTAGCCCCCTGCCGTGGGCATGAAACACACCTACACTGGGGATGTTCATGCATAGGCTGCATCATGCACATTTCTGGTCATCTGGAGTTCAGCCCCGTGGCCACCATATTAGCAGGCTCTGACCTCCCTCGGTGGTTTTTGCTCAGCTGTGTTATTCATTTGCGTATCTACAGTGTGGACAGAGGAAAGTCCCAGCCAGGACATGCAATACCCCCCAGCTGTCCATGAACACATAATCAAAAACTTCTGTATAGGTCCAGATGCCGCTATTGTGGTTTGCCTTTGTCGCTGTGATAAAATACAGTACCAAAAGCAACTCAGGAGAGAAAAGGTCTTGTCTTAACATGGATCCGGAGGGATAGGGTCCATCGTGGAGAGGGAGGCATGGCAACCGTGAAGCATGGTGTCAAAAACAGGAAACTAGCAGGTCACATTTTCACCCCCACACGGGAAGAAGAGAGAGGAAACAGGAAGTGAGGTGAGACTAAAAACTCTCAAAGCCCACCCCCTAGTAACGTACTTCCTCCAGCAAGGCTATACCCCCTAAAGGTTCCATAACCTAGCCAAGCAGTAACGCCGACTGCAGCCCAAGCGTTCAGTGCATGCGCCGATGAGCAAACACGTCTCATTCAAACCAAAACCGGCTTCCAAAGCTTGTGTTAGAGGCTTACTTCCCAGCATGGTGCTCTTGGGAGGCTGGGGGAACCTTCCGGAGGCGGGGAGGTCTTTAGGTCATGGGGCATGCCCTCAAAGGGGATAGAGGGGCCCCAGTGCCTCCCTTTCTCTTTTTAGCCATAAGGTGAGTGGCTCTGCTCCATCACAGGCTCCTCGATCTGACTGTCAGCACCTCCCACAGAGGCCCAAAGCAGCATGGCGAACAGAAACTTCTAGAACTGTTAACCCTCAGAAGCCTTTTCTTCTTGTACACTGATTACCTTATTTACCTTAGTTATTTGTTATAGTAACAGAAAGATGACAGGCCCATATGTTTCACTGTTATTCTAAACCCCAAAGACCATTTAAAGGTCTCCGCTTGAGACTGTGGCCTTGAACCCATTCATTTAGCCTGTGATCATTTACTAAACTAGATTTTTTTTTTAGGTTCCATAATATAAGTGAACATGAGGCATTGAGGTGGGGGAAATAGTTCAGGCACTTTATAAATATGTAAATTTTAAATATGTTAATTTATAAAATTTGCTATAATTACACTTGTTTTTTATTTTATTATAGGCAAACAAAAAAAAAATTACAAAATGTGTCTTGGCTAGGTTTCTGGTTAAATTGCTACCCTGTTCTAAGTCTTACCCAAGGAATGGCAGCCCTGAGAGTCCTGTCAGGCCATTGTGCCTCAGTTTCCTACCCATGTTCACAGCCCTTCACGGTCAGTGCATTCTGCCTGCTTTGGTCCCATTCTCCAATGCATTGATCCATGCATTACGGATTGACATTTCTTGTGCATGTTGTTGGCATTGCCTTAGTTCATAGTTTTGTGTGACTATAGCAGAACACCAGAGGCTTGTGAATTTAGAGGGGAAAGAACTTTATTCCTTACAGATTTGAAAATTGAGGAATCTGATATCAAGGGGTTGACAGCTAATGAGCGTCTTCTTGCATCGTACCGTGGGAGTTGTGGTTTACATGAGAATGGCCCCATAGGCGTGTGTCTGAATGCTTGATCCCCGTTGGTGGCACTGTTTGGGAAGGATTAGGAGGTGTGGCCTTGTTGGAGGAGAGGTGTGACTGTGCAGGGGTGGGGGTTGGGTGGGAGGGACTGAGCTTTCAGAAGCCGGTCCCGGGGTGCTTCTGCCTCCTTCTTGCAGTTTGGCACGCCCTCCCTCCGCCATCGTAGACTTCAGCCCTCTGAATTTGTAAGCCCAATTAAATGCTTTCTTCTGTGAGTTTCCTTGACCATGGTGTTTTATCACAGCAATAGAAAAAAAATAACTAAGAGGGGTAGAGGATGTTACATGATAAGGAAGAATACACAGGGGGGAAATTCAAGCCAAAATGATCCTTTTATCAAGAGCCAACACACTCCCCAGAAACCAGCTGAGGAAGACCAGCAGGGAGCTAAAGATAAGCGCTTAATTGGTTCACGAAGGTGGCGCATCGCGCATCGCGACCGAGTCACCTCTTGATACTGTTCCAGTGCCTGATGTCAACAGGAGTTTTGGCAGAGACCATATTCAGGGGTCTCACCCTTTCAGTCACTCTCCACCTGCTCCTTCCACACTTCCAGTTGCACAATTACAAAACTGGCACAAGATGCTCTTTGCCCTCATCCCCAAGGGGCACGAGCATGCGGCGTGTATAACTGGGGGTAGGGGATATTTACCTGAAAGCAGCCTTTGATAGAGAGGCCACATCTGCAGAGAGATGACATTAGAATCATAATAAGCCATCAGAGCTCACCTGGCCCCACAGGGAAAGGCAGAGAGGCAGAGAGGGAGACAGTAGATCAGACCAGTGGGACCCAAGCCCACTAACAAGAAAACACTTTCTGAGACGTCCTGTGTTTCCCTCTGCCAACTGCCTTCCCCATAACCTTAGAGATGCAGATAGACCTTCTGGTGGTAGACATCCAGGACCCTCCTTGCACAGTCTTGAGGGAAAAATGTCTGCAGAAAACATGGGCTTTGGGTGGGGTGGGGTGGTTAGGAAATAGATCTTTTGTTCAGAACATCAATAATTGTATTGAGTCTATGGGGAGATGAGGAGAAATATAAATGGAGTCGCAAGGCTAATCCATTAGACTCCCAGGCTAATCCATCTACACCCCAGGCTAATCCATTATACCCCAGGCTAATCCATTATACCCCAGGCTAATCCATTATACCCCAGGCTAATCCATTAGACTCCCAGGCTAATCCATAACACCCCAGGCTAATCCATTACACCCCCAGGCTAATCCATTATACCCCAGGCTAATCCATTAGACTCCCAGGCTAATCCATCACACCCCCAGGCTAATCCATCACACTCCCAGGCTAATCCATTATACCCCCAGGCTAATCCATCACACCCCCAGGCTAATCCATCTCACCCCCAGGCTAATTAATCCATTACACCCCAGGTTAATTAATTCATCACACCCCAGGCTAATCCATTACACCCCCAGGCTAATCCATTATACCCCAGGCTAATCCATCACACCCCCAGGCTAATTAATCCATTACACCCCAAGGCTAATTAATCTATTACACCCCCAGGCTAATTCATCACACTCCCAGGCTAATTAATCCATTGCACCCCCAGGCTAATCCACCACACCCCAGGCTAATCCATCACACCCCCAGGCTAATTAATCCATCACACCCCCAGGCTAATTAATCCATTACACCCCCAGGCTAATTAATCCATTACACCCCCAGGCTAATTAATCCATTACACCCCCAAGCTAATCCATTGCACCCCAGGCTAAATAATCCATTACACCTCCAGGCTAATCCATTACACCCCAAATCGGAGGACTCCCAACGTTGTGCTGAAGGTTGCAGTACGTTCTTCCTGTGTGTTAACTCATTGAGACCTCAAAGTCCTAAGGGGCAGACATCACTATCATCCTCACTTTACAGAAATGAAAACCAGCAGAGAGGGTGTAACGGCTCTCAAGCTGCAGAGCCAGGATTTGAATCCAGGTTGAGTCGCCCCAGCATGCTCTGCCATGCCAGTGAGAGCACCTAGTGTCTCGGACAGGGAAGCCTGACCATTCTCAGGAACGGCTTTTCAACTCAGCAGGCAAAGGCATAGGCGTAAAGGAAACATCACCACTCTATCAGACTTGAATCACGGGGGTTCCTGGTCAGTGACCACACTGTTGGACTCTAAATGACAGTATTGTTTTCCAAAGTCCTATAAGACAGCTCGTGTGTTGTAGGGTGGAAGGTGCTGCATGCCTGTGTGTGTGTCAGCACGTATGTGTGTGTGTGTGTGTGTGTGTGTGTGTGTGTGTGTGTGTGTGTGTGTGTACGTGTGCAACTGAAGGCCAGAGGTAGACACAGAATGTCTTCCTCAATTGCGCTCCACTGTTTTCCTTTTTTGAGATAGGGTTTCCCACTGGAGATCTCTGACTTGTCAGGATTAACTAGCCAGCACACCAGTTACTTCCCTATCACCTCCCCATCCCAGCGCCCCACGTGCTAGGAATACAAATCTTCCCTATCACGTGTGTGGATGCTGGGGATCTGAATTCAGATCCTCATGTTGCCCTACAAGCACTTTCCTGGCTGAGCCCTTCACCAAGCCCCTGCAAGAAGGTTACCTACTAGTCAGCAGTGCCTCTGAAGACCTGGTGGAGGTTACGGACTCTGTGCACAGAGCAAAATGCACTCGACGTTTTACACGTAACAGCAGGAGCTCCCAGGAACCCTGTGGACGTTGAGTCAAGAATCCCAACCTACAGAACACATTATTCTGTCCTTAACCACACACCACCTTCTGCTTGCTTCTTTTTAAAATTCTCAGTAAGAAAGCGTACCTGGGAAAATTACTTGATTGGAGTCAGCCATTAAGGCGCAGATTTCCTGTACTTTGATAAACATCGTCTTAATTAGCGGGCTCACTGTGGAACTGGGACTCAGGGCTGCCAGGAAACAGGGGAGACAGAAAACCCTCAGGATTAGGCAAGGGCATCCATTTTTGAACCAAGGATACTTACTGATGGAGTGACCCTCTGCCTTGAGTAGCTGAAAGAATATTCCAACCAGCAGCAGATCCGAGCTTCACGGTTTTCAATGTTTCTTTGAAGCCTGGTTTTGCTGTTACCTGCACAATTGACTCACTGTGAAATATTTCTCTCCCCGTGATTCCACCCTGGGAATAAGGACATTAAGTAGTTAAGAGATGGCATGTGATGGTTAGTTTTATATGCAAATGTGACAAACCTAAATGCTCAGTTATTTAATCAAACACAAATCTGAGGCTCCTATGATGGCATTTTTTGGATGTCACTGACATCTATAATCAGTAGATTTTAAGCAAAGGAAACTAGCTTTGATAATACGAGTAGTAGCCCTGATCCAGTCCTTTGAAAGCCTTGAGCAAATAGGTTTTCTGAACAAGAGGCAGTTCTGCCTCAAAACTGTGTCATATTTTTGACCGAATTCCAAGCCTCCTGTGTGGATCTACAGATTTTGGAGCTGGCATGCTCCACTATTGTACAATGATAGGTATAAACACATGATTTATATACTTAGATTGATAACTGCTAAATATATGATTGCTGAATAGAAACATGTAAAGTATAGATCTATCATTTATCTGTCTACCTACCCATCAATCATCTATCTATCTATCTATCTATCTATCTATCTATCTATCTATCTATCTATCTATCTATCTATCATCTTCCTATCTATCCATCCATCTTAGTTACTTTCACATTGCTATGACAACATGTCTGGCAGAAGCAGCTGAAGTGGAGAGAGGCTTGCTTTAGCTTCTGGTTCATGGGACATAGTCCATCATGGTGAGCAAGACATGGTGGTTGGGGTGACAGAATCCATGGGAGTGGGAGCTGCAGCATGGCTTACTAAATATTGACAGGTCAGGAAATGGGGAGAGAGTAGGACCAGAAGCAGGACTCAGGATCCAGTGGACTGTGTCTTCCAACATGGTCATGTGTCCAAAACCAGCATCACCAGCTGAGACCAAGTATTCAAAGACACAAGCCTATGGTGACATTTCAGAGATAAACCACAACACTAAATCATCCTGCTGCGGAGAGCTCTCTGCCTGTAGAGCTCTCCATCAAAGAGGCTCCTTTATCGTCTTACACTTTCTAGCTTGCCCTCTTTTCTCACTCCTGGCCTTCCCTGGACCTGGAAACAGACACCTGGCCTCTCAAACGAGGCTTTGCAGAGTCTGTTTAGTTTCAAAGTTCTGATCTTGCTTATAAAAACCACATGGAGAGAGAAGGAAAGGGCAAATGCGGGGAGCAGAGAACTTCAGGTACCACAGGTTCATTTTTTCCCCCAGGTGGCATCTCTTCCGGGTCTGGGGTTTTGCTCTCAGTGGTCCTTCAGTCATAACTGCTCAGGGTCAACCTGTCTGCTTGTTGGTGAGTAAGGAATAGACAGTGGTAGAGGAGGAAGTTGAAACCCAGGATCGAACGTCAATATTGATATTACCTCTGATTTCCTTCCCCAGCTCAGCTTCCCCCATCAATCAAAGAGAGGTCATACCTAGCCTGGACGAGGGCTGGGGAGACCTGACGTAGCGCTGTTCCCACCGCCGTGTGGCCTTGCGACATAAGGAGTCCCAGCCTTCCTTTCTGGCAAGGAGCAGCCATGCCGCAGCAAGGCTTGTGAGGGCCAGGCAAAGAGCAAGAGCACAAAAGACCTTGGATGTCTGGTGGCTCTGCACAAAGGGCTCCATCTCGTAAGTTCCAGGCTTTCTTCTCCAGCGCCGATCGTAGAGTTGCTAAAGAATTCATCGCAGTTAGGTTGTGAACACTGCCAGTGTGATCCACATTAGTGCCAGGGCCATTACAATAAGGGCTTGTCTGCCCTACACTGTGCTTCTGTTCATCCCTGCTTCTTTGCCTGGAATACCCTTTCTCATAGTTTCTACTTAATTTTTTTTTTATTCAAGTAAAAGTCACAGCCTCCAGAAGCTGTCCCCAACATCTCAGAGCTTTGGAGATTCCCATTACGGAGTGTAGGGAGTTGTGGATACAGGTCGCCATTCTGATTTTATGATCTGAATCTGAGTTCTTCTATGAGAGGTTTTGTCATACACATTCTAGAGTTTAGGAGAATACTTTGTAGTGGTGGCCAGTGAATAAAGGCTGCCTGGATAGATATAGAGAGTAGATGTGTAGAAAATTAGTTTCAATGTGCAATAATAGTGGCATTAGCCAATAATAATTGATAGATAAGAGGCTGAGTGAGTGCAAGAATTTTGTAGACATGTCTTAAGAATGATTGACATTTGATGTTTGTTTTCTCAATGTCTCAAAACACTGCCAAGATGATACCCTCGCTTTCATCTACGTGTATCAGCGGCTGGCACAATAAGCAGAGGAAAGTGGATGGCTTTTTAGCAATAGATTAGTTCCCTTAACAGCATACCTAACACGTGTGAGATTTCAGCCTGCATTTAGTCAACCTCAGAGGACTGGCCTGCGGCAGTTGCAAGCTCTCCTTGGTTGGAAGTCACAATATCCAGGCTACTTTTTTACACTTCTAGGGAAAATGGCTGTAGTTAAAGACAGGCAACTGTACCACAGCCTCGGTGATCACAAAAGACCCCCTGGTGTCTGTGGGGAATCTCCAGAGGTGCGGGAGGACTCGGTCCCCCTTGTCAGTATAGAACATGACATTAGCAAGGATGGCTGGGTTAGAAGATAGGCCATCTGCTCCTGGCCTAGTTATGCTACTAATTTGCTCTGGGGCTTGGGTAACCCTCATCACTTGACCAGATCTCACCTTCCTTGTGAGAGAAAGGGAGAACTGTGTAAAGAACAATGCCCCAGTTAGCTCTGCATGGCCAGCAGGCTCCCAGCCCTTGACTGTGTCCATTATGACTTCAGAGGCGTCTCTCTTCTAGGCCTCCTGCTCTGCCTCGCTGTCTTCCCAGGGACTTCCTGTGGGGAGGAGAACCCTTTCTGGTGGGAGCTGTCTAGCATGGTGGTCAGCAGTAAAGAACTTGGCTCTGGACCAACGAGATGGCTCAGTGAGAAAAACACTTGTCACCAAGCCTGATGACCTGATCTTCATCCCTGGGACCTACACAGTGGAATCGGAATGAAGTGACTCCCACAAGTTGTCTTTCTGAACTCCATGTATGCACTATGGCGTGAACACACACATGCATGCGCACACACACACACAGACAGAGAGACAGAGACAGAGAGTATTATACATCTTGGACACTGATGGTTAGTCCTGATTGTCACCTTGATCGGCTTGAGGTGCACCAAGAGATTAGTGAGGTGTACCTCTGTGTACACTGTGAATGCATTTGGAGAGATCAGCTGAGGGATGAGGACCAGCCCTGAATTCTAGCAGCACTATCTTGTAGGCTGGGGACCCTGTTGGAATAAAAGGGGAAGAAGAAGCCCAGTGGTCCTGAGAGTTCTCTCTCTGTTTCCTGGCTGCTGCGTTGTGAGCTGCCTTGCTCTGCCGCACCTTCTTCGACATGATGGACTGACAACTTTGAAACCGTGATCCAAAATAAATCATCCCTCCTTTAAGCTGTTCTCTTTAATATTTTCCTGCATACCAAGAGACACGTAACAAGAGCCTTAGCCTCCCTGGGTGTCACGTCTCTCCTGTGGGACAATGGGACAGCCAAAGGGCTGACTTGTTGGTCAATTAGATAAGGAAGGCGCCTCATCAGCATTAAGTGCCCATCATGGAGTCTACTGCAGAGCAGGAGATGGAGTCAGGACCATGGTACTCCTGAAGGACTGCTGAGGGTGGAGGCCACTCCTTAGCTTGGCCCCGCATCCTTTATTGTCTTCCAGAGCCATTTCAGCATCAGGACTCTTCTACCAAAGGTTCTAGGTTTTAAAGGCACCTTCAGCCCGTGTGCTCCTGGCAAGTGCTCGGGGCAAGGACAGAGAGCCCTAGCGTTCTGAAGTCAGCCATTGTCTAGGTAAGAGTGGACTTGTTCTCAAAGCCCACAAGAGGCCGTGGAGCAGTGGCCTTCCCCGCTTTCTGCTGGCTCATGCCTCTTCCTCTGTTTCTCCTCTTTGTCCTTAGAGTTCTGCGGACTTCTATCTGAGCAGAGGGCTCTGAGCACTCCATCGCTGAAAATGATAGATGGTAATCTAAGATCTCAGTAGAGGCTGAGCTTCCAGAGACCAGGGGTGCTGTCGGGCACAAGGAGACATGGAGTAGGTAGGCGGTGGCTCCCCATCTGAACATTCCGAAACAGCTTAGTCTCCAGCAAGCAAGCCTCAGGCCGCCAAACTCGCATCTTGACTCCACCAGAAAGGCAGCGAGCAAAGTGGGTTGTCCACCCACAGAGGAAGACAAGCAGCTGTCGTCCTGCCGTGAGCAGAGGAACTGTGAATGCCATTTCACTCTGTCGGAGCTGCCGGAGCATAGCGCCCCTGGGAGCCTTAAGCTCTGGAAGTGCATTGCCTCAGCTCAGGAGGGCACCTACAGGGCTGCGAGGAGAACCTGCTCCTAATCTTGCCTGTGGCTCTGGTCATGGCCTGGGGCTTAAAGAAACATCCTCCTGATCTCTGCATCCTCGTCATCACATTTGCATATCTGCATCCGTAGACATCTCCCTTTGAGAGGACACTGGTCCTGTTAGATGAGACTCATCCAACTCCAGTATGACTTTCTGCTAACTGCTTATATCTACAGTAGTCGTATTACCATGTAAGGTCGTACCATGAGGTGCTAGGGATTAGAATGTTTTATTGGGAAAGTACACAGTTTAACCCACAACAGTCAGTCCATAAGGGACTGGGCAGACATGAGTCCATCCATGCCTGTTTTAACCCTCATGGGAGATCATCACCAAATGCCCCCAAGCCTCTGGATAGCGCCTTGGAGAAGCTGATCTATTTTCTGTGGATGGTGGCATCTCCAGGATCCATGCTGGTGATTACCCACCACAAGTTTAATGTCAGCAGCAAGAGGAAACCTCTGGCTTCATTTCACTTCTTTGGCAAGCTTATCCACAGAGCCCACGTCTTTGGAGAGCATCTCCAAGCAGGTTATCCCCACTCTTCGACTCACAGAGAGAAAACACAAGACCTTTAGTCATAATCAGTGTTTTCCAGGAGCTTGCCATGTGTGAGCTGCAGTTACAAACAGTTCACATGTACTTTTGCAGTGAATCCTTGTGACACTCTGACAAAGACAGTATTATTATTATTCCCATTACACAGATATGGAAGCTAAGTCACAGCGAGAGCCTGCCATTGGTTCCCAGTAGCACAGTTGGAAGGAACAGAGCTGTACAAACCTAGAGATGACATTCTTACTCAGCACCAGGCTGCTGTCTAAGCCCCAGGCACGGACAGGCCCACTCACCTTCCACCAGGCAGGAGCAGCGACTGGCAGCATTCAGAGGGTCGTTCTGCCCAGAGGACCTTCTCCACTGTCTGTGACAATCATCAAGAACCCCGTAGACTTCAGGAAGTTCTATGGGCAGGACATCTCACTGCACATATTCCCAGAGCATGGGTACTTCTCCTCCAGTAGGCTGCAGCTGGGTACTCCTCTGCCAGGAGACAGTAGAAGCCCAGAGCTCTGCTGAGACTAAGAAAAGCAACATCAGAAAGGCACTGAATCAGAAGTGGGGAGGAGAGGAACAGATAAAGAAACTGCAGAGACAATTGTCTCCAGGGTGTGTTCTTCCTGGAGTTCTAATGGCCTTACCGTACAGCATGAACTGGAGGCCAGGAGACATGAGCGTGGTCCACAGGGCAGGAAGATGCCCTGAGTCTTTTTTTCTTTTGTTTCAGAGCTGCCCAGAGGCTTGCAAATTCTGCTACACAGCATCATGCTATCCAGTTTTACTAAAGGCTCAGAAGCAATGGGGCAAGCCTACAGATGGTAACCTCCAAAACTGTGAGCCAAAATAGACCTTGTTTCTTTTTAAGCTGATTGTCTTGGACATTTTGTTACAGCAATGGAAAGCTGACAAATGTAGTATTCTCCATCCTCTTTCTTTCAATTCATCTGTGATCATTACAATGACAGGTACTGGAGGAATCTTCAAGATTAACCAAAGACTGAAGATATTATCAGACTTGGGAGACACAACTTGAGACCCAGCCACCTCTCCTCAATAAGTCAGTTAGAAAAGCCAAATTAAAAGTGGAAAATAGAAAGGAGGATTTACTCAATAGCCACATTGGGAAGAGGGACAAAGAGACCAGCAAACCCTCAAGTCCATCCTTGGGGTCTCGAAGTGAGATTAAAGTTTAAATATGGGGCCAAGGACATTCACATCTAAGCAGTTCCACTCAGGATGTGGTCCACCATTGTCTGGGCTTCCATCTCACCCTATTAGGTGGTCAGATAAGTTGTTAGAAGTCTTTGAAGTCTTTTTCTAGAAGACAAGTCCCCTCCACACAGACACAGGCACACAAAGACACTTACACACACACACACACACACACACACACACACACACACACACACACACACACACACACGGGTGCTCTTTCCTTCTCCCAGAATGAGATTCCTGGGGGAAATTCCCATTTCTTTCGGGTTCATTGTTCTGATAGGTTGAGGGATACAAATATCTCTTTAGAGTATCTTCATTTCTTCCAGTCCAGTTACAAAGAGACCTCTAACTCCTCCACCCACTCCCTTTTGGATAACCCCAGAGAGCTGATTTCACGATTTTCTAGCTACTTGTAAAACTTGAGTGTTTCTTCCACCTGGGTAGTCTGTGAGGCTCCAAACACAGGAGATGGTGGGGAGATGTGTCCCCACAGCTGATATCATCTCAGTACACACAAGGTACCTTGGGACAGAATCAGGGACATGAGCACTGCACTAGGGTCAGAAGGTTGGGGTAGGATCTTATAATGGACAGCAGTATCCTGTGATTAGAGGCCACCAAGAAGCTTCATCGTCCAAAGGAGCCTGTGGTCCTATTTGATCTCCAGGTCTCCTCTCTTCCCACGTGGCTTCCTTCTTCCATCACCTTGAGGGAACCCTGGGAAACTCTCAAGGGTGATGGTCACACCCAAGGGTCTGTATTCCAGGCTTCCAGCACCTCTTTCTTAGGCATCATGACTTGTTCGCCTCACCCTGTTCATGGGACTGGGCTCCTGAGGATGGGAGTGTGTTTTCCATGACACTCGCCACCTCGGATCAGCCATCTGTCTTACATAGATACCCCAATCCCAGCATCTATGGGTTAAAGGCTTAGTCTCCAAGGTTGTGCTACGGTGACATGGTAAAGTTTAGCAGGCAGTCTTATGGGAGGTCCTTGGGCCCCCAGAACAACATCTTGAAGCAAACGGTGCAACTCCAGCATCTCTGTCTTTCTCTTCATTTGTTTTCAGTGAAGAGATGGATGATTTTGCTCCACTAGGTGCTATGATATACTGCCTCATCACAGACTCAAAGTAGCAGGGTCAACCAACTGTGCTCAGGAACTCCCCAAAACTGAGCAAAAACAAAAACTCTTTCCTTTATAAGTTAGCTCATGTATCTGTTAAAGTAACAGAAACCTAACACAAGGGTATTGTGAGCAGTTAAGAAAATGTGCCTATGAAAAACAGGCAAGCCCTAGCTGACGCTCAGAAGAGCAAAGCAAACAGAAGCAGAGCTAAGGCAGGTGGGTACGGGGTTCCCATTAACTAGTTATGTAGTGTAAGCAGCCAGTTCACATGAGTATGAGGCTAGCACCCACCAGAGGGATTCTGTATCAATGGTGCCTGAACTGCATGGTGGCCAGCGCTTGGAGGTGTGGGCAGTTAGGGGATGCCTACATGGGCCCGATCCAGACTCTGCTACCTGGGAAGGTCCTCACCTCCTTCCCAGCCTCTCTTCTTCCTTGAAGTGGAGGTAAACAGAGTTGGTTCTGGTGAGGGATGTGATATGGAACTGTGGGAAACTGGTTTCCTCCCTTTCTCTGTCAGCAGTGACTGACCTTCTCACTCTACTTCCGGGTTGTCTATAAGGAGTCGGGCATCACCGGAGGAAGCCAAGAGGTGGGAGGAGGCACCTTGACTGTCTCTGCTCTGACTCCTGACTCCAGCCGTGAGTTTCTGCTCTGGGTTGCCCCTCTCTGCCTGCATACTTCAAGCTCAGAGCATCACAGGGAACCTCATCTCCTGCATAGGGGACCTTCCTTCCTTCCCCATCCTCTGACAGAGAACTGCCTGCCTCCTGACAGCTTGCTGGCCAGCCACTAAGAGACTTCAGTGTCCAGCCTTGATCTCACCCTTGAGGTTTCTGTAGCCCAACAGAGTTAGGTCAAAACAAGATGCTCCCAGGCTAGCTGAAAGGCCAACGAGGAAAAAACAAAGGTAATATTAGCTTTACAACCATCTTGTTGCACTGAATGTGCTTTAAACTGAGTAATAAATAATTTACAAGGTCCTTCAATAATGATAGATCCTTTATTTCACTATGGAAGGCCAACAGTTGGAATGATTTTCTTTCAATCGAGAATAAAAGAACAATATCATGTGCCAGAATACAATACTATTTTTTCTATAAAGACAAAAGATAGCAGTCTATTTATAGTGTATAATGGATATGAAAATCCTTTCAGGAAAATTAACGACAATGCATCTTCCTTTGGGGTACTCGGTGCGTTCTGTAGGGGATGGAAGCTGTCACGCTTTGACTCACAGAGAGCTCCACTGACTGACACCACCATTGCTCTCCCGTAAACCTTGGAATTGTCCAGAAGAGACTGTGTTTTCAGTGGTAACTGGCAGTTGCTGAGAGCCTCCTGCCTTCTGGGTCTCTGATGTGATTGCGTTCTTTTAGTTCTCTGAAGGCTCTGCCAACAGGTGTGTGTCTCCCTGCTGTAGAGACTGAAGACAGCAAATCGCTCAGGAGCTGGGGCCATTGAGCCTCGCCCTGTGTGTCTCAGCCATTGACACATGCCAGTTAGGGCTCTAGGTGGCCACTGTCCCCTCATGGGCTGCTTGCTCCAGGAACCATGGGTTCAGTCTGCCACCACAGTATAAGACACATGCCCTGTTGAAGAGCGAGGAGCCCAAGCAGGCACATGAGAGAAGGGGAGAATTGGGGTTTGGGATCAGCCCCCTGGGGTATTCCAACTTCCCTGCTGTGGTCAGGAGGCTTGGGAACAATCTGTGAGCCTTCCTGGAGGAGGCAATGAGGCCGCACAAAGCACTGGTTTTATGGTTCAAAGAAGCCTCTAGATTTCCTCTTCACCTGTATGTAGCCTGCTTCCTCCATCACTTCACGCTGGGCACCCTGAGAACTCCGGGGGACAACCATTCCCAAAGGAATACCTTTCAGGCCTCTAAGATCTCAGGCAGAGTTAAAGATTGGTCACCTCTCCCTGTGGCACTGTGGACCCCCTAGTCACCCCTCTGTCGCTTGTAGCCAGGGGTGGCCTCAAATTCCCCATGTAGCCAAGGACAATTCCTGATTCTCCCGCCTCTACCTCCCGAGTGCTGAGATTACAGGCATGCACCACCACACCCAGTTTTTGAGGTTCAGGGGCTCAGTCTCAGGACCTCGTGCACACTGGGCAAGCATTCTGCCAATTGAGCTGTCCCCCCGGGCCTGGAAACTGTTGCATCTTAGGAGAACTCCCACAGAAGGGGGTGGCTGGACTCAAGGATATGCATCTTTGCAGTCTCGTAAAGATTGATTGCCAGACTGTTGCAGAAATGACCCCTCAGTTTATACTGTTGGTGGCAAACTGGTTTCCTCCTTTGCTCGTGTGTTCGGTGAAAATCTGGCTTCTTTTTGTTTCGTGTGTCTTCTGAGAACTGGAGAGGCTGGAGACTTTTCCTCATGCATTGGTTGGCTGTTTGCACATGTTAGAAGAATACCTGATTCTTACTCTGTTCCATTTGTTTTACGCTGGGCTATTTGTCTTCTAACTGCTTTTCCAATTTCTTCGTATTTTACGGAGAATGCTTGTGTTTAGAAGACATGTCACAGCCATTTCCCAGATGCAATCTACCTTTCATGTTTTTTATTCACATTTTTAAAATTTACGAGTAAAACATTTTTATCATCTTAGATTCCCATATGTCACTTTATTGATTTTTCCTTTGGGGTTATACTTAGCAAATTTTTCCTTCTACAAGTTTATATAAAAATTTACCTTTCTTTCCTCTCAATGCTTTTATGTTTTTGAATATATCTAAACCATATGCACATTATTGCCGTGGCTGTGATGGGAGAGAACTCAACTTTTTTTTTTCTAAACATTTTTCCAAATGTTTAGACAGTTATCTCAAAACCATAGATGGAGATAATGCTTCCCCCGCATCAACACCACCATGAGCGTGTCTGATCGCTGAGATGCAGCCGCGGCTGGAGCTGTGCGTCTTACCCTGCACCTTCTCTCTGAGCTGGCCTTTCTTTTGTCGGAGTTTGGTCCATTGAAAATGTATTTTAATACAGAGAAAAACACAGATGTCCCTCTTCGCTCTTAAACAAACAAACAAAACTGACCAGTAGTTCACATTCT